GCATCTGGATCCTCAAAAACTGTCTTGTATGTACCCTAATTTACAACCTAAGTGTTGGAGATGTGGTAATTTAGATGCATCTTATTTTCATATTTGGTGGACATGTAGGGAAGTTAAAGCATTTTGGATTAAGATATGGTGGAATACTCAAAATATTTTTAAGAAAAAGATAAAGTTTAAGCCGCAGATATTTTTGTTGAGTATTATGGAAGACTTGGATGCGAAAGAGATGGAATTGATGTTGAACTTTATAACTGCTGCAAGACTATTAGTAGCTCAGTATTGGAAAACGGAATGTTTACCTACTATAGAAGAATGGTCATTTAAAGTCTCGAATTTAGCAGAAATGGCCAAGATTTCCGCCTATGTGAAGGATCACTCACAAGAAAGATATATTTTGGTTTGGAGAAGATGGATAGATTATATTGAGTGTAAATATGGGACTAAAAAATATCATTTGGTTTTTGAGTAAATTTTGGATTATTATGGTTGTATAAAGGTTAGAATATTTTATTTAGTATTATTTTTAATTATTAAAGTGTTATTATTATTGTTTTTAATAATTGTATTGTTTAAAAGAGAGTTAAAGGAGGTTACAGATATGTTATTTTAATAGTTGATTAATGTTAATTAGAGTATGATTCTGTTATTGTTAACCCTGTGATTGGCACTGGGAAGTGAGGGGGGAGGGAGGGGGGGTGGAAGGGTGGGAAGGGGAAGGGGGGGATTTATATTGTAAAATTTTATAAAATCTTTAATAAAAAAAAAATAGAACCATTTCCCCCAAAATAAAAATAAACATTTAAACTAATACAGTCTGTCTTCTTGGTCCCTCTAACCTTCCATAATGGCAAGTAAAGCTAAAGGGATTTTGTTTTGTTTTTTTGAGTCAAGGTTGACTCCTAGTGACTTTATGGGAACTGCCATATCAATATCTTGGCAATGATACTGAGGTAGTTGACCATTGCCCTATCTTGGAAGCCTTTTTTTGACTTTCCAGACTAGCCAAATTCCTTAGAACAGGGGTCTTCAAACTTAGCCCTTTTATGACTTGTGGACTTCAACTCCCAGAATTCCTCAGCCAGGCACGCTGGCTGAGGAATTCTGGGAGTTGAAGTCCACAAGTCATAAAAAGGCCAAGTTTGAAGACCCCTGCCTTAGAGTTTCCTAATAGTCTGTTCTGCAAATACAAGCCAGGTCCAATTCTGCTAAGCCTTTTGAAATTAGCCAAATTTGGCTTAGTGCTGACCCCTAGCTAAGCTTTAAGAATGTAAGAAGCTCCTTTAAATCATTTTAAATGATTGGGTCATTTGTCCCCAAACCAAGTAAAATCCAAATGTGTTGGTCTACATTTCCCAAAATTTCCATGCCATCAGGGAATCTTGGAAAGGATTGTCCAGCACATTTGGATGGCACCATGTTGGAAGTAACATCAGAGTTTCCAGCGTAAGTTTTCTTGTCAATCACTCTTTGAACCTTTTAGCTGGATTTCTGAATTCAAGGCAAGTGTTTTTTTGCTGAACCCTCTTTGAAATCATCAGTCAAAAGGAGAAATATCAGTTCAGATCCAGCTGCTGATCTTTACAATATCCTGTGGCTGTAAACCATATAGCATTGGTCAATAGGATGTAGTAAGAAAAAAATAAAGACATGTATTAAACATGAAGGATATTTACTGGCCCCAATACATGTTTCGGTCACAAGAAATGTCTCCCTCATGAAGAGGTCACAAACCTGGAAGGAACATCTAGGATGATGGCATCTAGAGGGCATCTAAAGAAGACAAGCTATTCTTTGTTCTTTGGAGTGTTCTCCACTACCACTATCCAGGCATGGAGAATTTTGTACCTGGCACAAAGCTTCCGTGAAGTGTTTCCTTGTATGCCCACCAGTCCTCGTAGGTCTTTGCAGGAACAAATTGCACTAGAAAAGGAGGAAGGAGAGGAAGATGGATGGAGAAATGGTAAATCAGCAAAGGCAGTTGGTGAGAGGACAGGAGCAAAGAAATGGCATATATCTTTCTGTTTATCACCCCTTGTCATAAAGATTATCTAAACTTCTTTTCCTTCTCTTTGTCCTTCCTGAATAGACTGTCCAGAACTCAAACTGCAAATGCTGAAATGTTAAGACAATAGATAGATACTCAGACTGGCAGGCTATATCCCCAGCCACTGGAAACCTGTAAGATGAGAACAAATCAAAGCTGCTCCTCAACAGTATGGAATATGGAGAAAGATACTTCATATGCTCAGAGACACTTTTGCCTCTCCTTCGGTGCCATTTCTTCAGGTCATGCCCTGAGGCTGAGACAGAACAGCACAGGTGGGATCTCAGCCTGGGGAGCAATTTAAGCTGTGGCTGATCAGGTGTTGGAAAAGATGCATTTACAGTAGATGGATAAAAAGCGAGAGTGAAGGGAAAGAATGTGACAGAGAAATTTCCCCCTCAGAACTGATTTTATCTCCGATTAATGGATGTCCATAAATGAGGGGGCAGATGCACTCCCCTGCTCACAAATATGAATGAAAAAAAAATTGTGCATGTATATAGATCGGGACAGAGGTGATGAAGAGTTACCCCTGACTGGGATTCCACTGGGACTGGCTTCATCCTTTTGTTCCAGAGAAATCCCTTTCTTTTTACAACAAACAATTCAATCTCTCCCCCCCACAGCCAAAAAAATATTCCAAGCCAATCTCTCTCACCCCCTCCCCACTTTCTCTCTCTCTTACCAGCCATACAACTTGCTCTCAGCAGCACTAGCAGCAGCCCCGGCGCTCCCAGCAGGCAGAGCCCCCTGCCAGGTCCGGTCCACATCCTGGTGGGTCAGGAGGGGGCTTAAAGCCTGAGCGGCCCCCTCCTCAGCATCCCGCGTTCACAGGCTCCGGAGAGAGACGGAAGTCGAGCCTCCTGGCGGCCGGCCCTTATGCGCCCCGCGAGCGAGCCCTCATCCTCGAAAGCCCCCTGCCCTTTCCATGCCCTCTCGCTCTCCCGCTCCCTAGGTCTCTTTCCTCGACGCCTCCATCTTCCTCCTCCCGCCCTTTCTCCCGGGGATACCACCAATTCCCCTCCCCCTCCCCCCGCCGCCCACGTCAATTAGATGCGGAAGATGCTCGGGTGGCGTCCGGGGAGGCGAAGGAGCTCCGGCCGTGAAGAGTTTGCACACCCGGGTTGGGGGTGGGTGGGAAGAGCGGGTGGAAGAGCTGCCTCCCCTCCGCCGCCTCGTCCTCTCTCTCTCCCCCCACCCCAGGCGCCGGAGTGGCGGGTGTTGTGTCCTTTGTATTCCCCCCCTTAATCCCCTATGCATATCCTGATCACCCATTAAGGGTGATTGCCCTTCTCCATCTGCACACAGTTTCATGCCCGTTGCTGGTTGGCTAACTAGCAACAGGGTCTTGCCAGCCAATAGGAACTGTGTGATTACAAGCCAGGGGAATCCCATAAAAGAGGGCTCCCCTGGCCCAGAGAGCCAGTCCGGATTTA